TATTAAATAGGCTATCTTTCCTCCAATGAGGGTGGTTGACTCCTTTGTCAAAGATGAGGTGGCTGAGTGTGTCTGGAGTTGTTTCTGCATCTTCTGATCTGTTCCACTGATCCTCGTGTCTGTTTCTTTGCCATACAGTACTGTAGTTTTATGTTCTGTTATATATTACAATATTTTTATTTTTATTTTTTTTAAGCAGGAAAAAACAGATTTTATTATGCATGCAAATAAAATTCACAAAGAAATGGAATTCAGTCAACTATTTAGAATTTGAGACTTCTCTACCACCTAAATAAGGAGGAGAGCAGGGTGGGCCCACTCCCGAAAAATAAATAGGTCCTTACAAGGAATATATGGGAGTTCGGATAGTTTTATGAACAATACATTACAGTATTTATTGCATGTGAGAGTTATGCAAATGAAAGCAAAGTCACCAAGTTGGAGTTTCCTTTGATCATTTCTTTGTTCTGTATATTGTAATGTACTGGGTATAGACAGTTCCTCATTCAGCCACCAATTCATTTAACGACCTAGTTGCAGAACAGAACTTGGCTGTTAAATGAAGAATGCCTGTAGCCTATTGTATTTTAGGCACATTCACTAAGCATGTTGTGCAAGTAAACGCAGCATTCATGAAAAGACAAACGTCTTCAAAGTACCTGTTATTTCTGTAGTGACCAATCCTGGAGAAAGATAAGCTACCTGTCATTTTTTGGATATTAAGGCCAAAAAGCAACCTCATATGGGTTGCCTTTTTGCCTCTATTGCCACAAAAATATACAGTTTTCCTGTTTTGATGCAGAAGGGAGTCATTTGGAGCACAGTCTTAGTAGACCTGTTTCTCACATACGATACGAACAGCTGTATCAAGCAGAACAGGCAGAACAGCTGTGCCAAAGGGCCAGAAAAATTTATCAGTGCATTCTTTTATTTGGCTCACTTCTAAGGACTATTTGCTTCCAACAGTCCTTCAGGTGATAACAAAACTGATTAATTTGGAGTTAAATAAATTCTCAGATATAAACAAACTCTGCAGAAGTAATGTTACCTTGGAAAATTTTTGATATGTATAAATGTCTCGTATTATATGGGTGCTAATATTTTCTCAAGGGTTATATATACACTTCCGAACCACAGAAAATAGTTGAACAATTATTACTGTTATGTTTGGCTCTGTGATTGTTTTATGTGTTTAATTTTTGTCTTACACTCCTGGCTGGTAAGCTCCTTTACTATATACTTTGTGTCTTCCTATCCTCCAAGGTATTCACTGCAGAGGATTTCACTGTCAAGGATATTTGGCATTTCCGATGATTTTTACAGAGTCAAGCAGGTTCATGGTTCTGTGATGTCTTACTAGTAGTATCTTAGTTTCATTGGTCCCTTGCAATGACCTGCAGGAGCTCCTTCATTGATAGGCAAAATTGCACATTCAAAACCCAGCTCCCAGTAATATCAACTGTGTGATCAGTGCAACCTTGAAGCATTCATGAAGCTGCTAAGATGCCAGGAAAGGGCGTGTGAGGAAATATAGGGATAGATGCTTTATTGATTTGCTAAAGATCATATCTGGATTGCGTCTGTTTTGCAATTATGATTGATGAGCACCTTCTATATCATTGACATATCATAAGATATCCTGGATTTTTCTGAGTAATTTTCATCTTTGCCTTTTTTTTTTTTTGGTACCGGGGATCGAACTTGGGTCCTTGCGTTTGCGCAGCAGGTGGCGAAACCACGGAGCTAAATCCCTGGCCCCATCTTTGCCTTTTTTGATATGTGAGGGATCAATATTGTCTGAACCCCACTGATGTGATGATTTGTTGGTGGCTGCTGTATTTTATTTTAAAGGTTATTGGAGAACATGTGTTCTTAAGGAAAACAAATCATTTTCATTGAACTATTTTGATAATATAATGTGTAATACAGATGTTCTTTGTTTAATGATCTACCTGTTTAATGACTGTTTGTGCTTACTGCTTGAGGCACTCTGTTTAGACTTAGGAACCATCTTTCTTTTGTATAGTTCTGTACATCTTGTTGATACAGCCTCAATGTCTTTTTTTGTGCAGTACAGCTTGTTTATATCGTAGTATAATTTTTGCTGATTGTGCTTTACAGTACTATAGGTTTATGTTGTTATACATTACAGTACTGCATGTAAGAGTTATAAAAATAAAAGCAAAATCATCAAGTTGGAGTTTCCTTTGTCCATTTCTTTGTTATGAATTTTGTAATATATTATATACAATTTCTCATTTAGTGACCAATTCTTCTAATGACCTAGTCATAGAAATATAACTTGGTCATTAAAGGAAGAGAATTTATATTTCTTATTTGGAGATAAACTTTCTGGAAAGAGGTAGTTTTATGACTTATAACTGATTTAGTAAAGTTCTTGTATAGCGTATACCAGGTATTCAGCATCCTTCCCAACAAGACATACACCAATCTCACTATATGATATTTCCTTAAGGAGACAGAAATCAAAATGCATTTTGACAAATACTGCTTGATGTATAGAACAGTTTTTATATGTGCATGTACCAGAAGCAGATATTAGTCCATTTGTTTAGCTTCTTGAGATGCACTCCAAAAGACACTGTACAATATTTCTCCATGAGTGATGATGCCATGGAAAGGTTATATGAGTGAACTATTCTTTGAACTCCCACATATACATTACCAGGAACTCAGCATGAATTCAAGGGTCAGTTTGATGAGATAGCAAGACTGGAAGTATTTGAAGAAGTTCGCTTTTTCTGTTCTTTGTTCTGGATTCACTCGGGCTGTAACATTATCAGCACTCACTCTGCTATGCAGTAAGTAGGTATTCTGGGACAAAAGCTCAGGTTGATTGGCAAGAAACCTTATCCTTAATGTTTGAGATGCAAAATACCGTACTGCTGATGCTATTAGACTGGAGTGATCCTGAGATACATTTGGGCATAACTTGGCATCTGGATTCAGTAACTTCCAAAGCCCAGAAATTTCTCACAGACAATATGCAGGTAAGTTTCTGATAATCTCTGAAGCATTTGCTATCTTCTAAAACAGGGTTTGAGGAAGCTAAGTTTCTTCTATGTGTAAATTATCAGCACTGAGAAAATGGAAAGGAATTCAGATTATAATTATAGGAGTTTCTTTTGTTTCTATCCTATCCAGTGGACTAGACAAGGAAACATAGAACTCAGGATTTCTCCAATGCTTAAGAGTGAGCTTTAGAATCTTTACCAGATTCTAACTCAAATCATGGCCCTACCCCAATGCTTTAACCACTGCGTGTTCCTGGGCAAATTACTAAACCACTCAGATGCTCAGCTTAATTTTGAAGATCTGGAAGGGATTTTACCAAGGCTAAATGAAATAAGTTGTAAAGTGTTTAGCACAGCATCTGGTACACAGGAAGTGATAAATAAGAGGTAACTATTATTATGAGAGGCTTTGTTGATCAAAGGTCTAATGAACAGAGATATAATTCCTTTAATGTTTCTTAATTCTGTTATATTACAGTTTTGCATATTTCCTTTCCAGATGGAAAGTTTTCACTTTTGTGCGTAACCTTGGCACAGGTCCATCCTAGATCTTTGAAGAGGTACTAATTATGCAGGTCACAGAAATCTGGCCTTATGACAGACATTTCAGATGGATTAGGAGACATTGTCCAAACATACTCTGATTCAGTATTAGATTAAATTGGAAAGTCATACTAGAAGAACATAAATGTTTGATAATAGCCTGTGTGCGGTGACCAACAAAAGCAACTGCTTCATGGAAAAATAGCCCTTGATCTTTGTAATTAGAGAAGTGCTTCCATTCAATTAGATCTAAGTGCTTCCTTTCAAGAAAGAACATCATATATTTTCCTGTAGGTTTGTACCATGATGATGCTACTTTTTATGTAATATCTACGTCAATTCCTGATTCCTCTTTACATCTCGAGTGTCTAACACAGTGTCTTGTATATAGTAAGTGGGCTTTCATCAAAACAAGGAAAAAAGCAACTAATGTATTGCTCAGTGTCCACTTTGTGCCAAACACTGGACACGGAGCACTGAAGAAGAAAGAAACGTGATGCCTATTGTCCAGGAGACCACATCCAGTACAATAGGCAAATAATAAATAATAAACACCTAGAGCATACTGCTGAGTGCATTAAGAAGTCCATATAGGATTCATTGTGGGGGGCAGGGGGGCGGGAGTAGAGACCACACTTTAACAATCATGTTTCCTTTTCTTATTTAGGTGACATTCTGCAGACTTCGGACTCACCAGTGGTGTTTCATTCTGTTTAATGTCATACTATTTCATGCTTTGCTTTTTGGGGCTGAATTTGTGGAAGAATACTTTCTGCATTCTCTGCCTCCTGTAGACATGAAAGTTCTTGAAATTAAGGATAAGGCAAGAAAATTGAACATGGAACCAGTACGAAGTAATCCCTCTGAATATTATGTCCTCAGCCAGTCAGAGGTGTGTAAAGAGAAGAATATTGTTTTGCTCTCTCTTATCTTCAGTAGCCCAGAAAATGGAACAAGACGGGACCTCATTAGGAAAACCTGGGGTAATGTGACTAGTGTCCAAGGGCACCTCATTCTTACACTGTTTGCTCTAGGAATGCCTGCTTTGGTAACTACTCAGAAAGAGATAGACAAAGAATCCCATAAGAATAATGATATAATTGAAGGAATCTTTCTGGACAGTCCTGAGAACCAGACCCTGAAGATCATTGCCATGACTCAGTGGGCTGTCACTTTTTGCCCTAATGCTCTATTCATTCTCAAGGTCGATGAAGAGATGTTCGTCAATCTACCAACCTTGGTCGACTATCTTCTTAATCTGAAAGGACATCTTGAAGATATTTATGTAGGAAGAGTTATCCATCAAGATACACCCAACAGAGACCCTCATAGCCAAGAATTTGTCTCCCTTAGTGAGTATCCAGAAACATACTACCCAGATTACTGCAGTGGTGAGGCTTTTATAATGTCCCAAGAAGTGGCTCGGATGATGTATGTGGTTTTTAAAGAAGTACCCATTATGGTGCCTGCTGACGTGTTTGTAGGAATTTGTGCAAAGACCATTGGCCTTAAACCTATCCACAGTTCAAGGTTTTCCGGAAAAAGGCATATCAGATACAACAGATGTTGCTATAAGTTCATTTTTACATCCTCAGAAATTATCGATGCTGAAATGCCCTTAGCATGGAAGGAAATTAATGATGGGAAAGAATGTTCACTGTTTGAGACTTACTATGGGCTCATTTCCTGCAAACTTCTGACATACCTTGACAGCTTTAAACGTTTTCACATGGGGACCATAAAATACGACGTTATGTATCTTAGTGATTAAGATTTCTTTGTTTTTCTTCTAAGTCTATTATTTTTAAATTGCCTTCTACTCATTATAGAAAGCAACCCTCTGTCTTCATGTTATATATGGTTTCTCTGAATCTTTATTCATATTTAGCTTTGATATTCTTAGTGGTTTGATGTACTCAATCATCTACTGAGATCATCTCAATCATCAGATCTCATTTTAAGAAATTTAAGTATTGCTTCTTGGCCTTTTGGCTAAGAACAAGTGAAGAAATTTAAGTTTAAGAAATTTAAGTTAATGCAGCATAACTCTTTTCAAAATAAAATAAAGGGTAAAAAAAATAAAATAGAGGGTTACATTTAATTATAAAACAGTCTTTTAAAAAGCTAATGTAATAATATATATTTATGTTGTACAATAAGATGTTTTATATGTGTACATTCTGGAATGGCTAAATCCAGATATTTAACATGTTATCTTATGTACTTTTTTGTGGTGAGAATACTTAAAATTTACTCCCCTACTAATTTTCAGGTATACAATATATTGCTATTAACTATCATTACTATCAAATTGCAGAGATCTCTTGAGCTTATTCCTCCTGTCAAACTGAACTTTTTTGCCCTTTGACCAACATTTCCCTGGTCTCCCCACCTTCCAGCATTGGGTAACCACCATTTTACTGTCTATTTCTATGAGTTTGACATTTTTTACCTTCACATGTGAAATCATACACCTGAATTATCTCACTTAACACAATGTCTTCTCAGTTCATCCATGTTGTTGTAAATAACAGGATTTCCTTTTTTCAGGCTAAATAGTATTCCATTTTAGATGTAATCTACATTTTATCTATAGGTTTAAAGAAAACAGATGGACACAAGTTGATTCCATATCTTGGCTATTGTAAATGTTTCAGCGAACGTGGGAACATAGATACGTCTTTGACATACTGATTTCATTTCCTTTGGATAAACAGTAGTAGAATTGCCAGGTCATGTTTTAGTTCTAATTTTAATTGTTGAGGAAGTTCCATACTGTTTTCCATAATAGTTATACTAATTTCCTTCCCATTAATAGTGTGAAATGATTCCTTTCTCTTTACATCCTCACCAACACTTGTTTCTTTCATTTAAAAAAATATTAACCATTTTAATTGGTGTGAGGTGATATCTCATTGTGGTTCTAATTTGCTTTTCCTTGGTGATTAGAAATGTTGAGTATTTTTTTCATACAACCATTGGCCACTTGTGGGGGCTTTTTGAGGTGTTTTGTTGTTGTTTGACAGGGTCATGCTAGGTTTCCCAAACTGGTCTTAAACTCCTGGGCTCAAGTGATCCTCCCACTTTAGGCTTCTAAATAGTTGAGACTACAAGAGCATGCCACAGTGGGCCATTTGTGCCTTCTTTTGAGAAATGTCTATTGAAGTCCCTTGCTTGTTTTTGAGTTGGGTTGTTTTCTTGCTAGTGAGTTGAGTTATTTACATATTTTTATATATTTTGAATATTAATCCCTTACTAGTAGTATGGTTTGCAAATATTTTCTCAAATTCTATGTGTTGTCTTTTTACTATGTTGATTGCTACCTGTGCTGTGCAGATTTTTAGTTTGATATAATCTCATTTGCCTGCTTTTGCTTTTGTTGTCTGCTTTTGCTGGTCACACACAAAATATTTATGCCCAGTTCAATGTTATGGACCTCTTTTCTTACATTTCACTCTGATAGTTTTATAGTTTCAGATCTTATATTCAATGCTTTCATACATTTTGAGTTGATTTTTTTTTTTTTTTGGTCCTGGGGATTGAGCCTAGGACCTTGCACATGCTATGCCAGTGCTGTACCACTGAGCTACATCCCCACTGATTTTGATTGGCTTTGTTTGAGAAAGAGTCTTGTTGAGAGTGGAGACAGGTGGAGAGTCCCCGCAGTCCCAGGCCTGACTCTCCTGATGATGCAGAAGGTTGCGGAAGAATCAGAGACCCAAAGCGTAGAAGCAAAGTTGTGCTGTTATTCAGCAAGCATGCAAGAGCACAGCTGCCTTCTCTCAGAGAGACAGGCAGTGGTGCCCGAAATGGAGCCACCATTGAAGGGGGGGCTCAAGATGCTGGTTTTATAGTAGTGGGGGCCTATCTTGGCTCTGGGCTGAGGGTGCCCCTACTTGATTGGTTAATGATTAACTTGGCTCCTTACTAGGGACAACAGGGAAGGGTCTTTTCAGGGGTCTTTTACCTTAGGGCCAACGTTTTTTTCCTTTTGATCTTAGCAAACCAAGCTTTGCAGGGTACAGTGTGAAGAGGAGGTGCAACCACAGACTGTCAGCTTTTCATGGGTGGTTAGGCCTGTTCTCCCAGGGTGGGGGTTCCTCATCTCACCTTGCTTATGGGTCTCTATCCCTACAGTCTCCTTAGACTCAGAGTGATCCATGCTGTCTTTGAACTTTGACCCTCTTTCCTCCAGTTTCCCATTATCTGGAATTACAGGTATATGTTACCATGCCCAATGTAGCTACTTTTGTATATAGTGTGAGATAAGGGTCTAATTTTATTTTTTCTGTGTGTAGACATGCAGTTTTTCCAGCAGCATTTATTGAAGGCAATGTACTTTGCCATTGTGTGTTCTTGGCATCTTTGCTGACAGTTGATCCTAAATGCAAGGATTTATTTATGAGCCCTCTGTTCTGTTTCATTGGTCTATTTGCCTATACTTAAGGTAGTATCGTATTGTTTTATTATAGCTTTATTATAGCTTGGTAGTATATTTTAAGTCTGACAGTATGATGGAGCCAGCTTTATTACTTTTGTGCAATATTGCTTTGACTAGAGTCTTTTGTGGTTCTGCATGAATTATAGGATTTTGTCTATTTCTGTGAAAAAATGTCATTGGGATTTTGATAGATTGCATTTAATTTATAGATAACTTTGGGGAGTAGTGTGGAAGTTTAAACTATTAAATATTAACTTTTTCAACCTATGAACATAGGATATCTTCCTTTTTTGTGTTTTCTTTAGTTCTTTCATCTGTGTTTAAAGTATCATGAAAGAACTGAAGAAAACACAAAGAAAGAAAGTACTTCTTGCATTCTTTTTTTTTTTTTTGGTACTAGAGATCGAACTCGGGTCTTTGCGCTTGTGTAGCAGGTGGCAAAACCACTGAGCTAAATCCCTGGCCCAAGAAAGTACTTCTTAAGATGTCTGGTAGAATTCAATAGTGAGGCCATCAAGTCTTGGGATTTTTCCTGATGGAAAACACTTTATTACCAATTTAATTTTACTCATTATTGAATCTGTTCAGAGTTTTCATTTCTTCATGATCTCCTGTTGGTGGGTTTAATTTCCCTAGGAATACTTCCATTTCTTCTAGGCTTACTTTGTGTATTATTGTTCACAGTAGTCACTACGATCCTTGGTATTCCTGATTTTTCTAGATTCTTCCTTTATTTAAATCCTTTCTTTTTTTGTGAATCTAGCAGCTTGTTGACTTTGTTTCTTTTTTAAAAATTAACTCAGTTTTGTTGATATTTTCTAGTCTATTTATTTCTGCTCTGATCTTTATTTCCTTCCTTCTACTAACTGGGCCTTAGTTTATGCTTCTAGTTCCTTGAGGCATAATATTAGGTTGTTTTTGATCTTTCTTCTTTTTTAATGTAGACATTTATTGTAGTAAGCTTCCTTCTTAAAACGGCTTTTGCTGCATCCAGTAAGTTTTGGTATGTTGTGTTTCCATTGTTATTTGTCTCAAGATATTTTTAAATTTCCCTTTTAGGTTATTCTTTAGCTTATTGGTGTTTAGAAACATGTTGTTTAATTTCCATGTATTGGTTAATAATTTCTCAAAATTACTCCTATTATTGACTTCTAGTTTCATACCATTGTGATGAGAAAAGATACTCAATATGATTTTGCACTTGTTAAATCTGCTAAGATTTATTCTGTGGCCTAACATATGATCTGTTCTGTATTCTTCCAAAGAATATGCATTTTGCACACATGATATATGCAAATATATATGCATATATGTGATATATATGATCCATTTGGTCTAAAGCATAGTTTATGAGATCATTAGTTATGACTGTCAACTTCATTAGATTGAGACACCTAGTAGATTAATAAAGCACACTTCTGAATGTGTCTATGAGATGTTTCCAGAAATAATTGGCTATAAGCGAGCAAACTGAGGGGGTGGGCATCTTCATTATTTATATGTGGCACCATCCAATAGGCTTGCAACCAGGAGGGAATGATAGGAGAAAAAGGAGGAAATCAGGTTGCATTTGAAAAGTTCCATCAGCTTGAGTGGGTGTATCTTGTGCTACTGTCATTGCTTGTGGACATTAGACTCCAATGTCCTCAGCTTTTTCAATTTGAACTCATTCCAGTGACTTTCCAGGGAGATTTTAGGCCTGCAATCTTGGCCCCTGTGACTCTCCAGTATGCAGATGGATTGTTGTGACATTCAGTCACTCTCTCTATATATTTACTCTGTTCTTCTAGAAAACCCTAACCAAAACAGTTTACAGCTAATGTTTCTTTATTGATTTTTGTCTGGATTTGACCTGTCCATTATTTTATTTATTTATTTTTTTGGTATGGGGCATTGAACTCAAGACCTTGCATTTGCGAGGCAGGCAGGCGGCACCACTGAGCTAAATCCCCGGTCCAATCTGTCCATTATTAAAAGCAGCATACTGAAAAAAAAAAAAGTAGGATACTGAAGTCTTATAGTCCCATACTTTTATTTTCTGTACCCCATGATCTACTGATATTTGTTCTATGTATTTAGGTGCTCTGATGTTAGATGTATATATATTTACAACTGTGATAGCTTCATGAATTTATCTTTGTCATCATATAATGACCTCATTTGTCTAGTTTTATGGTTTTTTACTTCATTTTTACAATTTTTATATTATCCAATAGAAGTATAACTATTCCTGCTGTCTTTCATTTTTATTTGTATGAAATATCTTTTTCCATTCTTTCATTTTCAATTCATATGTCATTAAAGGTGAAGTGAATCTGCCATGGCTTGAATATGACCACAGCAAAATTTATGTTGAGGCTAAATCCATCAATGTAATAATGTTGGGTAATGGGGCTTGGTGGGAAGTATTTGTGCTATGGGAGGAAAGCCATCATTAATGGAATGGAATGTCATTTTCTTTTTCATAGGAATGAGTTGGCTAGAC